ATTTGATTGAATTCCTCATTGCAAATGAAATTACTAGTTCATAATAATACATAGAACTATCAAAAAAAGAATATAAAGAAGATCTTCTTTATATTCTAAATTAGAGATTAGATATATACTCTAAATATTTTATCAATGAGGCAATCTCGAGATTACCTAGATGAGGTATTTATGGAACTACAGTGTTTATCAAAATTTCATGCTGATCTTTCTTCTCTCAAGAGATAGCTACAATACTATTTGCAAGGTACGGTATTGTCCTCTGACAAGGAGACAATCGAAATCACATCAATAATAGACACAAATTATTTTATTGATTGATCTTTTTTCCTTTTTTTCTCCTTTCTCCCCTTTTTTTTGGAGATCCTTTTTCGTGTTTGCAATTCGTGTCTCACTTTTTTGTTCTCCTTACGAAAAACCTTCCCTGCGCCACTCACTAGCGTACGGGATGGGTTAGGACTACCTACCCTTACTTGTTGATACTATCGTTGCTTCGTTGCTAGCACTTACAGTGGCTGACCTGGTTTTCTTCAAGAGTTATCACTCGCGCAGGAGGAATTATGCGAGCCTCTAGAAGGAGGGGAGCTTGTGACATTGCCATCTGGAAGAAAAGCCTTGAAGATGCCAATGGGTACATGGCGGCAATTCGTACATGTACTCTATGCCAACAGACACATGGAGGTGGTTCCGAAGAGGAAATTGGTGATTAAGGAGCTAAAGGCATTTGCAGGGGAAGAGGCAGATGATTGGCTGGAGGATGTGACGATTGGCTGGCGTTACCACGAGCCGCTAGGTTCAATGGTATGCAAATCGGGCAAGGTCTTTCGGAAATTCCGGATAGACGAGTGGCAGATGAAGTACAGTGCCTCGGAATGCTGTTGTGGGGAAGGGAGGCATGCGATGTTCCTCAATCCTACATCTGTAAAACTCCTGCCAGAAAGGGAGAGGCAGCATGTTATCACCACAGACACAAACATCACGGACAATCTGAGATTCATGAAGATGCTGAGCAACGGGCTCAATCATATTCACCTAAAGGCGTTGGATCTGGAAGATGCGATGGAGGAACTGGAGAAAGCGCTCGGCGAATATTCACGACGAAGAGATGTGACGAGGAACTTTCCCTTTTGGATGAGAAGCGTACCATGGGCAGGGTGATGGGAAAGGTAAGGCGATTGATGGGGCAGTACAAGGTGATGCATCAACATATTCTGGAGGAGGCGATCCACAACAATACGGTTAGCGGAGAAATCAAGTGGCTAATGGGGAGGTTACATGTCTCTTTTACGGACAAGGCGCCGCACACACCTCCTTTCGTATGCGTAAACTTCATCCGAACACTTGCCTTGGGCAGGCTTTCTGGGCTAGATTTCATCCTGATGGTCAGCGCGAGGCTAAGGGAGGAGGTTGCACGCATTGCTCCGTCACACTTTATTGATGGGAAGCTGCCGCACCTCATGGTGGTCTATAAAGCACACAAGGAGGCATTCAGGTGGATCACCAATACGGCAGGATCAATACTTTCGGCAGTGGCGGATATTTGCTCGTGTTTGCTGAAGTTCCTGTACATCGAAGTACAGAGTCTATGCACCAGCAAGAGCAAGGAAATCGTGTAGAGGTTTGGGGTGAGGCCTAACTACTGGTGGCCTATCGCATTTGTGGGGGAGCTCGTGGCGGACATCCCGGAGCGTGTGTACTTAGTATACACTGCCGACATTACGAGATATTTCAAAACAATCCCCACTGCTGACTCTGAGGACGGACTATTGGCGGCAATCAAGTTCTTCGTTGGGAGAGCATGGAGTGGAGGCGTGCCAGTGCCTCGAAGGACATTCTGGCGGTGAAGGTGATGGGTTTGGACAGACTACATGCATGTTGGGTGGATAAAAGGGCGGACGTAATCCAGCCACTCACCGGCCCGATATACCCATAACAGTATATAGATATCAAAATGACCACTGAGGTGGAAGAAGATGGGCACGACTTAGTGGGTAACTTTCTTAACATTTCGTTATTTGTGATCTCTCCCGAACTCGGGTTGTTCGCTACCTCCAAGCATGACAAGAGAAGAGGGCTGCCTTTCAAAACCGCAAAATTCATGAAATGCAAATCCAACAGAAACATTGCTCAGTCCTTACAGGTCCTCTCTGCCCAGACTGTGCTAGTCCTGATCCTGTGTATTGACACATTTGAAGCCGCGGCGGAGATTTACGCATTAGTTCAAGATATGGTAAGTAACGTGTGACGAGTGCGAGGCTGAGGGAAACAGGGAGAGCCGAGGGGGGGGAGAGAGGGAGGGAGAGAGTGAGAGCGCACACACACAGTCACTCACTCGGCAAGGCAAACGGTCGAACGCAGTGGCAAAGACACAAAGTCAAAGTCTTGGATTCTGAATGTCGAAACAGGACCAAGTCACACCGAGTACGAACACAACAACTGAAAACCGGTGCCAGCCTGGTCCCCTTACCTTACAGGGAGCCGGTAGAAGTACCGGTGACACGTACGGTACCCGAGGGCAGAACTGAAAAATGCGGCACTTGAAAGTGGCGCCCGAATTCCAGCATGGCGCCAGTTGTCCAAAATCCTACAGTACCAAAGGAGGGGTTTGGAAAAAGGGTACCAGGCCGAAAACGGGATGCAGCCGAAACAGCAAAAAGATAGACCAGGGATCGAGCCCTGGCGGAGTCCGTAACACTATCCCCTCCCTCTAGAAGGCAACGTCCCGGCTGCCCAAAATCATGAAGCATGCTGAAATCTGTGAAGGACGGGACGGGGCCGATCATTTGTTAACAAGTCGAAAGGGAAGAGGGGTATAATGTGGGTGGCATGGGCTGCGGGAGTAACAGGGAACAAGGTTTGGTACCAGTGAACAGGGTTGTCCTACTGATGAACCAGGGGGGGTTGCAGGGAACAAGGTAGTCCTACAAATCAACTAAAGGGACAGCAGTCCTACTAATGAACTAAGGGGACGGCATGGTTTGCTATAGGTTAAGGGGGAACAAAGTTCAGGGAACAGGGGACTTCTATTGATGTTCTACTGGGTAAGGGAAACGGTGTTCAGGAAAACAAGGTATTTCTATTGATGTTCTAGTGGGTAAGGGAAACAATTGTCAGGGGAACAGGGAATGTCTATTGATGTTCTAGTTGGTACGAGGAACAATGGTTAGGGAAACATGGATCTGCTAATGATGTTCTACAGGGTTGTCAAAGTCAAGAAAAATAAAAATGAAAATGTTTGTTCAGGATGCAAGGGCTGGTGTGTCCGAAGAAGTCAGCAGCAGAATCTCATGTAGGAACAAAGTGTCCAAGTGTCTTGAAAGGGGGTCTGCAGCGGTCTTAATCAGGTCTTTGGAGTAGGTGGTAAAAGCGGTCTTCAGTGGCTGCGGCAGAAGTCCAAGAAGCGTAGTAGTAGTTCAAGTCAAAGTCCAAGCGCTAGGGTGCCTCCGGTACACGAACTGCAATGAGGTCTGATCTGGAAGCAAGGAAGTCGCAGACTAATGCAAAGATCCATGTCACAAGTTGCTGCTCCAGTAAGTCCGCGAGTCGGGATGCCGGCCAATGAAACAGCATGGTGGCCAAACCAGCTGCATAATCTCCATGAACAGTGAGGCAGCAGGCCATCGTCCGCGTGCGCTTGCCATTAGATCCTTTATCGCCAGCGTCACGCAGGTTCACAAGCATTAGACAAGAAAGACAAGGTAGTGGAGAGGACAGATGGGACAAGGCTAGGTGAGGGCAAGGGCAGATCAGACATTAGGAATCAGGGTCAAAGGGAGGGTGGACTGGGTTCAAGGGTGTGTGTAGAGCGGGGTTGCGAGGTTGTAGCATGGTTTATATAGGGGTTTAGGGTTGAGAGTAGAAGAGCAGGTGCCAACGGGATGCTCGACCGACGGGATAGCAGACGTCGTCGGGAGGGGGGCAAGCGGAGTAGACTGCGTCGCCTAGGGGGCGTCCGACGGGATGTGCGTCACTGGAGGGGCGGTAGGCAAACGGATAGTCGATGCCAAGTGAGCCACCGGTGGAGGAGAGATCGACACCGATGGGAGAGCCGACAAACAAGTGGTCGACGCCTGGGGAGGATTGCAAGAGACAGGGGGACAGTGTTCAGGTGGGGGAGGGGCCGGTTGTCGCAATGGAGGAAGAAGTGGGAGTAGAAGGGTCGGGTCCCGTGGAACGAGGGACCGGTCAAGTAACGCGGCTAGCGTTGGGGCAGTTGGTTTGTTGACGACCTAACTGGCGGCAGCAAAAACACCTGTTGTGTTCCTGGAGGTATATGCGTTCTGCGGGTGCAAGTTTTTGGAGACTATGGGCTGGAGAGGCAGACGGCGGTCGGGAGGCACGATCCTGTTCCGCCTGCATAAGGTCGGCGGTCTGGAGGTCCTCAATGGTGAATTGGGAGGGGTCGAGAGAGGTAGTGTCGAAGTCGTCATCGGAGGTGGATGGAGTGGTGTCGTTATGGAAAAAGCGGGGGTGGGAGGGAGCGGGCGCGGGTTGGTGATGGGCGTGGAGGAGTCGATTGTGGTGAAGCATGCAAGAGAGGAGGTCAGCAAGGGGCATGTCGGGTTCGTGGGCGAGGGTTGTTGCAAGGTCTTTGTGGCATACTCGTTTGATGCGGGAGATGAACGCAAAGTCGGGAATGCCGGTGGTGGGAAGGTGGTGGCGGAGGGACCAGACGTATTGGACGAAGCGGTCCGTGGGACGGGTTTGGCGGAGGTGGCAGAGTTGTTCAAAGTAGTCATCAATGGTTTTCTGGGGGCGGAAGGTGGCAGTGAGAAGGTTGGCCCATTGGAGGAAGGCGTGACGTGATCCTCCGGAGGCTCGGCGGTTGCAGACTTCAGCCGTCCACCATTTGGCGGCATTGCCGAGGAGGCGGGAGGTGGCAATGGAGAGCCAGTGGGCAAGGGGCATGTGGTGGAGGTGAAAAGAGTTATGGAGCTGGGTTAGGAAGAGGAAAACGTCCTCGTGGGGGAGGCCGGAGAAGGACATGATGTCGAGGGATCGAAAGAAACAGGGGATTTCCCCATCGCGGGGAACGATTTGGGCGAGGGTGTTGAAGTTGCGGTTATCGGGGGTGGTGTCGTAGCAGGTGTAGTTGAGTTGGTTGTTGTCCTCAAGGAGGTAGTTGGGGGGAAGTTGTGGCATTGCAGGGTAAGACCCGGAGGTGACTTGGGGATAGGTGGGACGGAGGGTGGGGATGGTGGAGGTCGTCATGATGGGTTGGGGAATGGTATGAGAGTGCAGGGGGGGAAGAGGGGTGACGTGGATGGGCGAGGAATGAGGCGGTGTGTTGGATGGGCCGATCCGGGCGAGGGTGTTGAAGTTGAGGTTATCGGGGGTGGTGTCGTAGCAGGTGTAGTTTAGTTGGCTGTTGTCCTCAAGGAGGTAGTTGGGGGGGAGTTGAGGCATTGCGGGGTAAACCCCGGAGGTGACTTGGGAATAGGTGGGACGGAGGGTGGGGATGGTGGAGGTCATCATGATGGGTTGGGGAATGGTATGAGAGTGTGGGGGGGGAAGAGGGGTGACGTGGATGGGCGAGGAATGAGGTGGTGTGTTGGATGCGCCGGATGAGGGACGAGGTGGGGGGAGTGAAACGGTGGTGGATGATGAGGGGGCGGGAAGGGTTGAGTAGGAAGGGTTGGTGGATATGGTGGTAGAGGTGGTAGGAGTGGAGGAGGTCGGCGGGGGGTTGTTGCTGGAGGCGGCTGTGGAGGAGGGAGTGGTCTGCGTTGTGGAGGAGCGAGGTGCGGCCGTGGTGACGACCAAGATGGAGGGGTTTTTCCTTCGAGCGTGGTGACGCGGTCGGATATGGACGACATGGTGGCCTTTATGTCGTTGAGAGAGGCGGTGACGGAGGTTTGGAGGGTGTTGAGTGTGTGGAGGATGGCCGAGAGGTCGGGGGTGGCGATGTTTGCTGGTAGTTGTTCGCCTGCGAGGTTGCGGGCGATGCTATCGACCGAGTCGGTGCGGATGTCAGACATGTTGATGGAATGCGGCTATGTCAGGGGAAGAGGGGGTGGAGGCCGCGGGCGGTACGG